TTCGGTGAGTGCCCGCTCTGCTCCGCTCCGCTCCGTGCCGCTCCGCTCCGCGCGGCGCTCCCGCTCACTCCGGCCTCCCGCTCCGGCGCAGGCTTCGCCGGCACGCCCGGATACCTCTCTCCCGAGGTCCTGCGCAAAGAAGCCTACGGCAAACCGGTGGATATCTGGGCATGCGGTAGGAGCCGGCCCCATCCCAATTCCTAGCCCTGTTCCATCTTCATCCCCATCTCTGTCTCCGGGCGAGTTCTCATCCCAGTTCCTATCCTGGTCCTTGACTTTCCCCACCCTGGTCCCATCCCTGTCCCTATCACCGTCCCCATCCCAGTTCTCATCCCATCCCTGTCTTTGCCTCATCCCCTTCCCTGTCCCCTTCCCAGTCTCCATCCCAATCCCAGTCCTTTCCCCATCCTCCGCTCCAGTCCACATCCCATCCCAATCCCATTGCTCCCCCCATCTCAGTCCCTCCCTGCTCCCCATCCTGGTCCCATCCCAATTCCCATCACGGACCCCATCCCTGTTCCCATCCTATCCCAGTCCCATCCCCATTTCCGTCCCAGCTCCGACCCATCCCAATCCCCATCCCAGCCTTTACCCATGTCCCCATCCCAGTTCCATCTCCATTTCCATCCTAGCTCCTACCCATCCTAATCCCCATCCCAGTCCCATCCCCATTTCCATCCCAGCTCCTACCCATCCTAATCCCCATCCCAGTCCCATCCCCATTTCCATCCTAGCTCCGACCCATCCCAATCCCCATCCCAGCCTTTACCCATGTCCCCATCCCAGTTCCATCTCCATTTCTACCCTAGCCCTCATCCATATCCCCATCCTGTCCCTCATCCATATCCCCATCCCATTTCCACCCCAATCCGCGCCCCTTCCCCGTCATTTCCACCCGCTCCCCGGGCACCGCTCGGCCTCGGCGGTGCCATCCCGGCCTCCTCCGGCCTCCGCCCCGGCCTCCTCACCGCGCTCCCCGCTCGCCGCAGGCGTCATCCTCTACATCCTGCTCGTGGGCTACCCGCCGTTCTGGGACGAGGACCAGCACAAGCTCTACCAGCAGATCAAGGCCGGCGCCTACGACGTAAGTGCCCGGGCGCCGCGCGGGCGCCGCCTCCGAAGACTGGCCTCATATCTCCACGCACGGCGCCCGGAGGCAGCGGGGGCCAGTCCCGAGCCCGGCTCCAGTGGGTATCTCCGCGCCTCTCCCCCCCGGGGACGCCTGTGTCGCTCTGTCCTTCCTCTTGGTCCCCCCGCCCTTTCTTCGCTGTCCCCCGGCTCTGTCGCTCCCGGCTCTTCTCCGGCTGCCACCGTCGCCTCCTACTCTTCCACCC